GTACTGTACATTTATTAGAAATCAAGATATTTGCTTATGAAACCAAGCTACTGGTGAGCTATCCTATGCTTTTTCTTGATAGTATAAACTTTGATTTTATATTTTGTAACAACATAAATATTAAAATTTGTTGTGCCTTTTAGGGTGAAAGGGGGTGCACACCACTAGAAAAGTCCCCCCACCCCACCCCTTAGACGAAGTCAAAACTAAAGCTTACTGAGATTTTATGATTCATAGAATTGTTTATTTTGTGTGCTGAAAAAGCAGGTGGGGAAAGATGGTGCATTTTGAAAACAAAATATCGAAGATCTCCAACATAGTTGTAGAGTTACAATTACTGATACAGGCAGTGTGGAAAGTTTGTATTGCACAGCGGATATGCTTTCTATGTATTTGCTATTAAATTTTCGAAATCACCGCTGTGCAATTTTCAAACTTACCAGTCAGGCAACACAGTATGGCAGCTCAGCATAGGATTTTCTTTTCTAGCCTGTATGGCATATTGGCTTATGAACTTAAATCAGCCTTTTGGCACATTATTCACTTACCATTTTCCAACAGTTTTATGCATTTTTAAACTATAGGGCTGAAAAAATACCTGTGGTTCCGGTTTCATATTGTGAAAAAATTGGGGTCGGGAGGTCGGAAATAAATGTTTTTTTCATGGTTTTGGTGTTTTTTTTGCTGGGCGATTTGCAGTTGAGTCCTGACATCAATATTAACTAGAGATGTGTATATCCTATGGATGAATTTAGGCAATTTGGTTCAATAATTTGTCGTCCGCCATCTTTAGTTACTTATCATCTTCAAACTCTGTATGAGCAGCCTGCAACCACCTGGAGAAAATAAGGTTGCACGGTCAATCGCGATGAAAAAATAATTAGGGTCGGCAGAAAAAAATAGGGTTGGTTGGGAACCGGAACCACAGGTAATTTTTTTTATGCCTAGTATATATTACCATTTTTCAAAATGTCAGAATATCTCGAGTCTTTCGAAGCGTTATTGGTATATAATAAACTGCATTCTATTTGGTATAATAGTAAAACTTCGCTTTGGCGTAAAACCGGCAAATCTTTTACATGGCACCACATGGCCTCACCTGAAAAATCTATTGCCCCGACTTCCCTCTATCAATTTGGCCAGATATACCCTTATTCTATAATATTAAACTAGCTAATCCACTGCAGAACGTAGACTATGGCAGTGGATTTAATTATTCAACATAGAGGTAAATAACATTTACAGTGTGATCTTATGGAATTTTAATATAGACCTATTTCTTTTGAAGGTTTGTGCAACACAAGCAAACATATTCCACTGTTGATAAGGTAATTCTATTGTAACCATCATATTCTAGTACTAGTAGTTGATGTCAACAATTTGTCTGTTTTGTAACAACTATCTTGTTGTTATAAAGTTTGTTCGTTCACTGCAACCAGGTATATCAATCATGTTTCGCTCGCTACTCTGGTCTAAATAAATTATTACAAAGCCCAGTTGAATTGTAATCAAGACCCAACGTTTCGACACTCCAGTCTAGTGTCTTCATCAGGGGTGATCTAAAACTGTGATCCTGGCTTCTTAAATACACAAGGGATGACGTCACCTGCCAAGAAGATGCATATATTCCTCTGGCAAATAGGCACCGTCATCCCTATTCAAAGCATGATGACTCATATTTATATGCCATGCTTCTAGTAGGCAAAGTCTTTGACCATAGCGATTGTTTGTGGTAATTACTTTAGAGTTTTCCCACGCAATCTCATGTTTGGTGTAACATACATGTTCGGCTAAAGCTGATTTTACCTTGTCTAAAGTTGAAACAGCCTTTCAATGTTCTTTTCACTTGCCAACTTCCTGAATATGCTTCAATTCACCCAAAACAATTGTTTGAAATATTAAATTGTTTTCATTGCCAGCAAGCAATTGAAGCAAATTGAGTAAATATCTACAGGGTGTATAAAAAAAAAACTGAACAGATTTAAAATTGTTCTCATTTTCGCAAAACAGCTATTTGTATCCGTTTTTTATATAGCCTTCTTTGGGTACTTATAATATAGATTAATGAGAAAAATTTCTCCTACTCAAATTTGGTGAACCAGGGGGGATCATATTTTGAGTTAACAGATGGAAAAGTTGTCTGGATTTTAATTACTGTACAAAATTTCAGATTAATTGGTTTAGTTTAAGCCCCTTAACTATTCACGCAAAGTTACAATTTTCCCGAAAAATCAGCTATTTGCATGCTTAATTAATGCATTTGCCTAATTTGCATATGTCAGCAATATGCAAATTAGGTAAAGGCATAATTAAGCATGCGAAAGGCTGACTTTTTAGAACAAAATGAATAGTTAAAGGGCTTAAACTAAACCAAATTGTCTGAAATTTTGTACAGTAATTAAAAACCCGACAAATTTTCAATCTATTAACTCAAAATATGATTACAGCTTTTAAATTTTGTGCGCGAGCCATTTTTAATTTGTTGGAAAAGACACCCCCCCCCCTGGTTCACAAAATTTGAGTTCGAGAAATTTTTTTCATTATTTTACATTATAAGTACCCAAAGAAGCTATATATATATATATATATATATATATATATATATATATATATATATATATATATATATATATATATATATATATATATATATACATATACATATACAGTATATATACAGTACCGTCGAGCGCGTTCGAGCGAGAAACATTCGAGCGAGTACCGAGCGTCTCGAATCGCGTTACCTATCGAGTTTCGCGAAACGCGAAGCGCGAATCGAGTCGTCGCGATGCGAATTGAAGAAATTTTCGAGAAACGAGATTCGAGTATTGAGTATTCGCGAAGTGCATGGTTTATAAATGCGTTATTAAAAACTGCAATGCCACTATGGCACGTTTAATTGTATTTATTTCAGAACCATTTTGAGAGATATGAAAAACTAGTTTCACATTCTTTTTTCATATTCATGCAGTTCAGATTATATATATATATATATATATATATACGAGTAGGTTTGTGTATACGAAACGCAAAGAGTACTCAATATCATAAAGATAGAGCAAATGTAGAATTTCGTTTACCTCAAAATTCCGCAACAGTCTGTTTCATCAGTAAAGAATCATCAGGCGGTACCGCCTGATGAAACAGACTGTTGCGGAATTTTGAGGTAAGCGAAATTATATATATATATATATATATATATATATATATATATATATATATATATATATATATATATATATATATATATATATATTTACATGGTATTTTTGAATATTACTGATTTCGGACTTTTCATCAAAGTGTTTTACCCTGGTAAAGCTCCTTCACAAGACACAAACGGTATTTACACATTGCATCAAATGAGGACGATTGAATCTTTCAAACCAAAGGAGTTCTTCAATTGTCCAGCATAAGACATGGATAAAGTTTATATTAAAGTCTAGGTTGGGGGAATAATTGAAGAGGAGTTCACTAAAATGATATGAGTAAAAAATCATATTACTTACGTTTTTAGGGTCAAATTGGCGAACCTGGTAATAATGGTGTTGACGGACCTGGTGGACCTAAGGGTAAACAAGGTCCAATAGGAAATCCTGGTCAACCAGGTGCAAATGGTAGTCCGGGTGATGGCGGTGAAGCTGGAAGGAAGGGTGCCGTTGGAATCCGTGGAGCACAAGGTCCACCAGGTTCTGCTGGACCCAAGGGAGACAAGGTACTCTATGTACATATTTTACCGGATATAACTTACCGAATGCTTCATTTTTCAACAAACACCAGAAAATGAATGTTTAGAAGGGCAGTAGTACGTGTACTCTAAGAATATTTTCATGAGGTCAAAAGATGCAACTATTTCATTCGAACTGAATAGTATCCGAATTGAATACTCTAAGAATATTTTCATGTGGTCAAAGATGCAACTATTTTATTCGAACTGAATAGTATCCGAATTGAATAGTATACAAATAATGAATGTTAATTGAGTGCAATGGTAAGAATATTTTCATCAGGTGAAAGATGGAATGTTCCATTCAACGAGGCGACAGCCGAGTTGAATGGAACATTCCATCTTTCACCGAATGAAAATATTCTTACCATTGCACGAATAAAAACATTCATTATTTGTTTTATATAATACCAAAATAGACTAATATTAAAAGGTTTATACTGTAAGCTGCCGCCATTTTGACGAGTCGTAATTGCATTAAATCCCATTTACTGAGTTTCGAATATCGGGTTAAAATAAACTGCGATCACCGTACAAGAAGCATTTTGACGGATGCGATTTATCGAAAACACAAAGAGTGCAATGGAATACAACGTATAGTATAATTGCACTCGCAAAGAGTGCAATGGAACGTATTCCATCGCACTCTTCGGAAATGGAATTTTCTATTCAATATCACATGACCATAAACAGCCAATTAAACGATCAGAATTCAATAAGGTAGAAACGTTCTATCTTTCGGCAAATGAAAAAACATTATTACGATTAAAAGATTCATGATTTGTTTTACATGAAATAATCATTGTCACATTTACTTGAATACTGTACTCAAAACAGTCTAAAAGCCCATTTTCGATGGGAAATTTTCGATTTCAAAATTTTTTTTGACGGAAAATTTGTGTCGGCCAATCACATTTTACACAATTTTCTTTCTGAGAAATATTTTCCTGGGTGGAAATGGGCCTTCACAGGCATGCAGCAAGACTGTAATAATGGCATCTGCAGAATCATGCAATGGAACAAAAACGTGCAATACAAAAAAAGCCCACGTACGGGGGACTGCACGTTGGAACGTTCAAATGCCTGGTCAGTTCAATGGAAACTTCTATTGAATATCAGCTAAATAAATGACCACAATTTGACAATGTATTATGGTAATACAAACTATACGTACTGAAGAAAAGCGTCTAATATAAGACGGCACATGGATTGTGTATTCAATATTATTATTTGTTCACGGATTTCAAATTTATGCTGATTTGAATGTAACTATAAATGCAGTTTACATTATACAATGAGTATATAATACTCTTTTTGTTTGTTACAAATTCTACCAAATTTGCCAAAAGGAAATGTCAAGCTTAGCATTCCTGTTATCGTGTCCATTGCGATTTGAAAACTACGACATCGCTATATCTATGTAAGGATAATATTTCTCGCCAGTACCTTGTTGGGATGAAGACAGGTAGCCATGTTACTAATTGGTGCTGTTTTTGGAAATTTTAGGGGCCAGCCGGTAAACGAGGAGAGCGAGGTTTCAAGGGACCTACCGGCAGTCAAGTAAGTGTTTTATAGCATGCTACTGTATAATTACGGTCTCTTCAAGAAGCGTGTTTGAGGATTTATAGTGCAGTTGAACAGAAATCGCCTATTTCTAAAAAAAACTAATGATGTAAAATTGTATAGAACTTGGTCATTACCGTGGCCATGGATAATAAAATAAATGGATAGGAAACTAGCTGACGTGACCTAATGTTTTTACTGGGATTGATGGCGTGGCTGGGTGCCTCAACCTAGTTGAAAACCAAATTCTCAAAAACGGCATGTTTAGCAATAATACAGCTAAACATTTTAGTCAAAGAGCAAATAAATGCAACCACGCCATTCTACGATGAAAACTCTAAGTATTCCCAGTCAATTTTAGCAAATATTTCAAGCACTAAACAGTGAAAAATACATCGCAAATTTCGCAAAAATTTGTGACGCCAATTTCGTAGCTACAAATGTAAAAAAATACAAAACAAAGACGAAAAACATTTACCTTGAATACTTTGTCGTGGCTTAGGCATGTTTTTAAACAATTAGACCAGTTTACGCTTCAAGATCACCCTTTTAAAGTGGAAAATATAGCAAAACAACAAAAATGCCGAGAACTTTGGTAACATTCGCAATACGCGTGACGTCACGTTTTTCAACAAGGATGCAGTCAATGACGTCAGAAGTTTCCAATCCATTTATTTTATTATCCATGCCGTGGCTTAGCGTCATTTTTATACCTTTTTATGGTGGTTTTTTTATGTAATATTTGTTCTTTTTGCTTTTAAATAAAGGGTTCGGCTGGTAAGCCTGGTGATCCTGGTAATGAGGGGCGAAAGGTATGTTGGTTGATACAATTGCATGTTTATTGTTAGCTACTGTACTTGGGACGTACAGTAAAAATAATTTAGAACAGATGGAAACTCTTTTGTAGAACTAGCGAGTAAACAAGAGATAGGAACATTCCAAGACCAAGCAGCACAGGTTTTCAATAAATTACCTGTTGAACTTAGAAATTACAGTAATTATGCACACTTTTCGAGCAAAGCTAAAATTTACTTAGCAGAGAGGAACTCCTAAATTAATTAATGATGGATTGTATTGTAATTAGGATATATCTTTTAGCATGTACTGTACATAGTTTGTATATCCATACTTTTATGGTTCGTAGTATTATTCCATTCTAAACACTTATACTCATATTCCAATTGTAATTATATTTATATGTAACAAATATAAAACATTTTCCGTGTTGATATACAGTTATATCAACACGAGTGGAATTGGGAAAACGAGAAATTATATGGAAACACAACGCCCGAAGGGCGGAGTGTTTTCATACAATTTCGAGTTTTCCCAACTTCCACTAAAATCTATCATTTTTAGTTGCTGTTTAATTATGCATGTTTACTATGTTATTGTTTAGTCGGTTTAAATGTTAGAATTTTCTTCTTTAAACTTTAATGTTGTCGTCACTACATCTGGAAAACCACGTAAGAACAAATTAAAAGTATTTTAAAAGAGACCAGGCTGTTTGAAATCCTGAACGAATGCTAAAAATCGTGCCAGAGTGTCGTCGAATTGCGATGTAATGTAAACAGAAATTATAGCAAGTTGATGTCAGTCAGCTTAGATGGTCCAAGCCAAAATTATATCGCATTTGAAGTTTCAAACTGAGTTAAAAATAGTGGAAGAAAAGCCGTAATTATACTTATTGTTACAACCATTTAATAAAATGCAACATTTTTTGTTTTAATGAAAAAATCAGTTATTTTCATGAGAACGATTTGTTATTCCATCTCAATTTTTTAATCTCCAATCGCAATAACGTAAAGTATTATTACCCGCGAACCAATGAGTCAAATTTAAGAAACAACCCACTGTTAGAAAGCTGAATGGCTACGCTTTAAAATGAATGTAAACTTTAACGTTTTCGTCTATTATTTGTTTAGCAATTTACATTTCAGTCGAGGATTGCGCTTTTTTTTATACACTCTGTATATCAATACGGAAAAAATGTTTTATACTTTTTTTATAATATAGCAATGTCAAAAGCCCGAAGGATAAGAAAAGTTTCCGTGTTTACAAGCGGCGGAAAATTTCCCGTGTTGACATTGAGTTATATCAACACGGCTCTTAGCCAATCAGCGTTCAGAATTTACAAATGCTATATTATAATTTATATTTATACATTCGTAAACACTAGACGAGAGCCACCCTGTGGAACAGTGGATGAACTACTAATAAAGCCGTTCTTATTTTTATATTATTATTATTATCATTATCATTATAAAGTTAGTACAGTGAAGTAGAGTACAACAATACAGTGCATTGAGGTTCAGTCGAGCACAGTAAAGTCGAGTACATTACAATACAGTCGAGTAGCGAACAGTACAGTACCATACAGTACAGTACCATACAGTACAGTACAGTTCAGTGCAGTGCAGTGTACTGTAGTGGATGAAAAAACACTGGATATGGAACTCGTGATCGCTTAGGATGTTTTCAACGTTCTGATGGCGTATCAACCTTGTTGGAAATTATGACATCACCAAATCCAAAATAATTGCATGTTTAACAGTACTACAACTGAACAACTTCAAGCATATGAGACTGTGAAATTTTCGTTAAATCATCGATAGTTTTTGTGACGCCAGTGACTGTACAAAAGTAAAAAAAAAACACAAAGATGAAAAATATATACATCGAATACTTTGTCGCGGAAAAAGTAGGTTCGTAAGACAAAAAAGATACATTTTAAGTTTCAATATACATCTGGAAAGAAAGTGTGGAGAAATTAAAGAAGATGCTGGAAAATTTTAGCACATTCGCAATTATTCGTGACGTCACGAATCCCAGACAGGTTGCGTCGCTGGAGCCAGCTAGGTTTCTATTTAGTTCTTAACTATATCCATGTAAAAGTGCAGTGCAAAGTGGTACCGTACTGTTTCATTATATTTTATTTTGCACTGTATGTCTTCTATGTCGGCTCGTTTCAAAGTGAAACATATGCCTGTGTGTTAATAATATATATTGTCATTTTTAGGGTAAAGATGGGGATCCCGGTCCAGCTGGTCTTCCAGGGCAGAAGGGGGCAGCTGTAAGTAATTCAGTGTTTTACACACTTTTTCATGCTCTTGAGGTAAAGCACAGCTGGAAATTGAGACAGTTAAACAAGCTGATTTTTTTGTAGTTGTATGGAATTTACTTAGGTGTCTCTTCTTTGGGCTTGATATGGACAGGAAACGTAGGCCAGACATGTCCAAAATACAATTGTTGTTTACCTTTTTTGCAGCAAAATAATGGGCTAACAAGGCAAAATTTAACTCACATAAATAGCTCACTTTCCAACGCTGTGTATTCAAACGCAGATAAGCTCGTAATTATAATCTTTAACATGAACTGAATTTCAATGTTTGGACGACCCGATAACAGGCCCAAATGCGGTTGTAAATTTCCCTGCATTTAAGTCATCGAAAGCATGAGTTATTATCCTCAATACTTTGTGTTAAAGTTCAACTATATTTAGGGCAAACAATAATTCATATGATACACTAGTTACTACTACTTCGTCGTTTCGGTGCAAAAAAGTCCTCAAAAAATTCGTAGTTGATGAAAAAAAAAGAAACGGCGAAAATACAACAGCAGGAAAAACTTCGCTACTTGTCACGCTCGTGCCAGTTCTTTTCCGCATCACACATCGATCAGGGTGACATCAGCGAGTTGCATCGCCCTAAGTATAAGCGCCATGCCAAAAACAAACGTGACAAAATGCACAGGGCGTGTGCCCACCTACGACCAGTCGTGTATATACAGTTTAGTTTTTGACTATAACATTACACTCTTTTCTTTCCCAGGGTATTCCAGGTCCCGCCGGTAAAAATGGTAGACAAGGTCGTGACGGAACATCTGTAAGTTTTTGTTGGCGTTTCTTAAATCTACGAGAACAATTGTTTTGGTTAGGTAATGACTATTGGTTAGGTATTATTATTATTATTATTATTATTATTATTATTATTATTATTATTATAAACCGATATTTTTGTTTAGGGTAAACCTGGCGTGACTGGTGAGCGAGGTCCATCTGGTCCTCCTGGACTTGGGGTAATTAAGATGAAGTATTGTTTAATTAAGGGGCTCAAACTGTGATCTTTGTTGCGACCTGATGCGACCATATTAGTTTGTTTTAACCTTTTATATTTTTATTGTAGGGCGAGAAAGGTCCTGCTGGTTTCGCTGGTATGGTTGGTGATCCTGGTGATAAGGTATGGCTTAATTATTCACCTCAAGTTGTGTTGAGACTAGTTCCATTAGCATGGAATCACCCAAGTATGTTTGAAGTTTGAAGCTTGTTTCAGCATAATCTTAAAAACTTTCACGTATAATCAAAATAATTAACGTTATTTTTCACTTTGGTAACTGCTAGTTGACCCAGTTGACCATTACCTGCTGCACGGAAGTGATTGGTGAAATCTGCCCATATATACTTGAAGAACACTCTGGTTAAAATTTTACCTGCTTAACCCAGAAATGACCTTTTTGCTGATTTTTTAACCTTTGTCTTGCTGTGGACTGGTTAAATTGACCAGGACTTCCTGGTTAAATTAAGCAGATTGTGCTAGATGGACAAATAACCAGGGGTTCCTGGGTTAAGATGTCCTGGTTAAATAAAATAACCAGCAAATTTAACCAGGAATACACACCTGTGAGATTGAATGTTTTCCTCTTTTATCTTCTGTAGGGTATCACAGGTGAACTTGGTGTACGTGGAGGCCAAGGACGAACAGGTGAAACGGTATGTAGTTCTTCTGTAGTATTGACGAAGCATAGTCATACGTCTATTTAACTGCCAGTCGGCTCGTTTGCCACACTCGTGAGGCATAGGTCGATATGACTCAAAATACTGTCAGAGTAAAATGACTACAATTTATGTGAAAATTTACTCATTTTTTGACTGAAGTAAATGTTTATTGCTTCATTTGACGTCTCGTTGGGGTCAAGGGTAATAAAGGGTGGCTTTTACAGTATATTGTCTCTATTGTGTGATATTGGCTTTTATTATAGTTGGAGAACCCATAATTAATTTTTGTGATTGAAACCCATAATTAATTTTTGCCATGTTACCATTGGTTACCATGTAACCTTATTTGAACTCAATTTCTCATTTTGACATTAGTTTGTCAGTCGCCAGTGCTTTCGGATTTTGAATATGGCCGAAATATTCAGAGCTTCTGCTTAACATTTTCTATACACTTTTGCAAGGATAGCACATACTGTATTTAAATAAAAATAAATAGTCGAAATATTTCCCTTAAGTAATGTTGTCTACGTTGGTACTGTATATACAGTCATTGCAAGATTATTTGCTATAATCGGCCTTCAAATAATCGCCACTCAAATAATCGCCATAACCGTGCTCAGCTCATCTGCATCTACCATTTTCCAACATATTTGTACAGTACATGGTGACCTTTCCTAATAAATACGACGAATATAATTAAGATTGTTTCTATACATTTTCCTTAATCTTATTTTATTTATCATGGAGGCTATTGGCTGATTTTTACTCTCATCTGCATGTTGTACCTATTTACGAAGTATTCATGTTTTAATTGCGATATTATTTAGGGAAGAGATGGCAGAGAGGGATCACGAGGCGAAACTGGTCCACAAGTAAGTATATATCACTGAATGATTATATTTTAACACCAAACCCAGTAATGTCAGGCTAATAATACAGCCAGTTGATACTTTTAGTTAGTTATTGGCAGGAAAGTGTAAATTCAAACCAAACCTAACAGAAAATATCCCGTTGTTCCAGTTTTCATTGCTCTTTTTTCATTGCTCGCTCTATGAAAGAACGTGATGGCAAAAATGGCTCACAGTTATTGCTTCTTGAAAAGTTATTGCTTCTCGACGTTTTCTTTCCCACGATTTGCCCCCTTATCCCCGTTCCTCGACCGCTCAAAACCGCCAGCTACGCAGGCTACCCAACCATTTAAATGTTGCATTTGGGTCCACAAGAGACCAACCTTTTATGCGAATTTTAGTTTTTTACATGAGCAATATTGAACAGGGGACAAGAGAGGTTTTTGGCCTATGAGACGGTGTTAATACCCATCTACAAAAAAACGTTTGCATCTACATCGCGAGTGTAGATGTGCCAAATCGTGATATTTAGCCGATACACCTTACTATTGCATCGCCTCAGCTATATATACATAAACATATGAGGCTTTGGTGGCGCAATCGTCAGAGAAAGAACCTTCCACCTCTGAGATCGTGAGTTCGATTCTCGCTATGGACTCGTGCGTGACAGTCATGTGAAAAGAGTCGGTCAACGCCCTACCGAAAGTCGTGGGTTTTCTCCGGGTACTCCGGTTTCCTCCCACAGGGAATGATGACAGGGTAACCCAGTGGCGTAACTAGAGCGTTAATTGGGGGTATAATCATATATTCGTGTAATGCCCATTGAACTATAAATAAACTGGAAGGCTAACTCAGGGGGGGAAATTGAAGTCAGTGCATTTTAGTTTTTCTGAGTTATGAGCAGAAATACTCAACACTGAACGTTGGGCTATATATCAAATTGAAGCTATTGAAAAACGCTATTTGGTGTAGAAATTTCAAGACTCTAGCTAAAGGGGAAATATTGAAAAACTACAAACATAATTACCGATAATTTGCCGTTTTGCAGTTGTTTTTGTATTTTTTAAATATTTTTCTTTTCGCTGAAGTCTTGAAATTTCCACAGCGAATAGCAATTTTCAATAGCTTCAATTTGATATATAGCCCGACGTTTGGGATCAAGTATTTCTGCTCATAACTCAGAAAAACTATTTTGGCTTCATCAAATCATAGGCCTTCATCATAGCAGTTAGCCTTCCAGTTTATTTATAGTTCAATGGTAATGCCCGACTAATTTCTTTTGAAATGAACTTAAAAATAAACGTTCTAGTTACGCCTCTGCTTCCACCGTAGCTGTGCTCCGTGGTCAGACATGAGTTCTAACGTGGCTGCCATAAGCGCCCTTAGGAAGACGTCGACTCGATCAGGTTGAGCTGCGTCCCTCCTAATTCAGCTTATGATGTTTCGAGTTTATTTAATCTTGGCTGGTCTTACATTAAAACGTGCAAGTGGAGAAGTCTTGTGAAACCTCAAATATCTGGTTATTTTGTTCGCAGGGTTTACCTGGTTCTCCTGGTAAAGATGGTTCCGATGGTGCCGCTGGAGATCCTGTAAGTTTCCTTTTTTAACTTCTACAGGGTGTATGAAAAAGTAGACAATTTTCAAACGGTCTCTCGTGTCTAAACTGAGAATTGTAAAAGTTGATGCGAATATGTGTAGTTAATGATACACCTGTATGATTTTTTTAAATGTGTCACCTTGGATAGCAAGATAAAGGCCTCTGAACCGAATAGAGAGTTTACGATCTACGACGCGGCCGGCTCAACGACGCGGTCTAAATTTCAGCTCAAGAAATGAGCACTAAGCAATTTGATTACTATGATTTTTTCTGTGTTGGTGTTGTGTACTCAGGTGAATATAATGTTTGTGATGTTACTCTGAGTGTATATCCACACCGGGCGAGCTTGAAAAATATGCCCGGCCACTGTGGGAATCGAACCTACGACCTTTGGAATACTATCCCAATGCTCTGCCAACTGAGCTACGCGGTCAGGACGGTTCGAGTAAGTGGGCTAGTATTCCAAAGGTCGTAGGTTCGATTCCCACCGTGGCCGGGCATATTTTCCAAGCTCGCCTGGTGTGGATATACACACAGAGTTACACACAGAGTAACATCACAAACATTATATTCACCTGTGTACACAACACCAACACAGAAAAAATCATATTACTGGATTACATACTTGGTATCGAAGGAACTAGAGTCTGTTCCGAAATATCACTTACTCGAACCGTCCTGACCGCGTAGCTCAGTTGGCAGAGCATTGGGCTAGTATTCCAAAGGTCGTAGGTTCGATTCCCACAGTGGCCGGGCATATTTTTCAATTTGATTACTGTAATAAGTATTTGACGCTTTTTCAAATAACCTTACAAACTGCTACGTTCGGCTAAAGCGATGCAATGTTTGCTGTAATTTCGACTTTGAGTAACACCTCTTGGGTCGCATTAAGCTTTCACGTTGCTTGAAAGACGTGATAATGCTTAAGGCTGATTTCCACTGTTGCGTTTTTCGTACGCACGTACACGCACGTAAAACTTTGAATGCTTCTATTTTTTAAATATTTTACAAATAAGTTAACAAATGCATACTAAAACTTGCGGAACACTAAATTCTAAATTCTAATTGTCGTGGATGCGCGCGCGTTAATTGGATTCACTTCACTACGTTTGAAATGACGTGGTTGATGTGCCGTTTAATTATATTTCAAATGACGCGAGCCAACAGATCACGACACTTTTGTATATAAAAAGGGCGTGTCAATTAAACAAGTCACATATCATTATAGCACTGATGAAGATCCTGGCTTACGGATCGAAAGCTTTGCAGTAATAAATTTACGTGGTGTTTCCACAAACAAAACTATTATATGTTTTATCGCCATGCAAACATACACAGAACTTACACTAAATTACGTTGCTTTGTTTATTCGGTTATTTCATAAGTAACATTTAAACGGATTTAAAGTTTTACGTACGTATGAAAAACGCGACAGTGGAAATCAGCCTTTAGTTTAACGTTCTGCTGAGCATGACAACGCCGTTGAGAATACACCTGGGACCACAAATTATTCTCAGTTTTTGTCTTGCATGACAAATTTCTTTGTTTTGAAAGCGCGTCGTCGAGCCGGCCGCGTCGTAGATCGTAAACTCCCTAATATCTCGATCACGATAACGACGCTCTATAGGGCGTATTCTTTTACTGTTTTTCGCATACGACCGATATTTGGGCACATTCTTCTTGCCACGTAAAATATCATGTTTTGCGAGAAAAATGGCTTTAAAGCATTCTGTTTGAATGCAATACGGGTACTATACTTTACCATTGATTACAATGAGCGAATAGCAGTGAAATTATCAGAGTTCCTGGAAAGTCACGGAATTTGAATATTTCAAAACGCGTGCCTGGAAATTGTGGAAAATTAGTTTTATTCATGAAAATTGAAATTTTACAGGAACAAAATTTTGATTATTTACCATTTAATAATCATGACAAAAAATATTGATAACAGCAAGTATTTTTGCATGAAAAATGTGAATGGAATTTTCTTTATAACCGCGCGTAAAGGTTTCACCGGTGTTTCTATTGGATATTTGACCTTTACCAGTATTTTGGACATGATTTTTTTTTAAAATTGGCCATGAAGAGTGATGGAAATTCATGGAATTTCACGTGGGATAAGGTGTACGAATCCACAATCTTTTGTTAGGACTGACTAAAAATATTGTCGGAATGTCGGCTAACAGTTTCGGCCTTAAATTACCAATTTTTTTAATATTGCTATATAGTTGTTAGTATTGTATGTATCACTAACTCTGACGAAAATGGTGCATTTAGGGTGCCACGGGTCGAGATGGACCTCCCGGTTCCTCTGGTGAGCGTGGTGAGCCTGGTGAGTCTGGTGACGCTGGTTATACTGGTTTCGAAGGACACAGGGTGAGTATTTTCAGTTCTTTGTCGTTTGTACTTTTTGCACAAAATGTCTTCCGAATATGTTTGCACAATGGTCAGTGCATGCATGTGCCTGTCGCTTCGGCAACCAAATTCGTGCATTGTGCAGTGATATGAATATAACCTCGCACCAATGAAGTGAACTTTATTTACCCATGGTAGACTCATCAGGCAGGGCTCGAAGAAGAGAAAGAATATGGCCTGCCAGTCTAAATTTTTTTGGCAGGTGAAATAAAGTTTAGCCTGCCATTTTTATTCATTGAACTGCCAAAATGGCGGATGTCTCGTACGAGTCATATTGTAAAAATCAATGTTTTCACCAGGGACGCCGGAATGATAAAAAGGCAAGGGGGGCAAACGCATACCAAGGGGCACCTCTAGACCCCGGTGAAGATATAAACCTACAATTATGTGTTGACTTGCCAATATATGAAAGCAAACGCACTTAATCAGGTCACATTCAAGATCACACCTCATGATTTTGCCCAAAAAGCATCACTGGAAATGTGATTTATCAGGTAGTATTTTATAACTCAAAGGGCACTTCTGCCCCCTTGCCCCTCCTAGCAAAAGGCAAGAGGGGCAGCTGCCCCTCCTGCCCCCCCCCCCAGTTCCGGCGTCGCTGGTTTTCACGATATGCATTTTTATTATTTTTAAACTTGTCTATTTTACTACAGTAAACTTGGATTTACATTTCAAATATAAACGTATTTAGTCGACTAAATGATCTAGTATATATAAGTTGTGCTAAGCAATTGAAGTGAGATATATCTATAGAATATCATCTGCCATTTTTTTCAAATTTGTTTTTGCCTGCCATTTCTAAAATATGGCCTGCTTTTGGCCATTGGTAGCCCGCTATTTCGAGCCCTGTCATCAGGATTTACAAGCCCTGTCATCGGTGGCTGCATACCTCCACCAGTGAATTTAAGTTGCTTATCATTCAATTTACTCTGTCTGGCAGAGCAAGACAAACATTTGCTAAAATCTTATGGGTTTTTTTACCGATTTACATTTGCGAAGTTTATAGTAATCAGTAATGGTAAGAGTGCGGTTTTCCCACGGGGTTTCAGCGGGGTAAAAAAATTTTAAAACCACTCAAAGTCTATTATTGGAAAACTCGTAGTTTTTCCTGTGTAAAGTGTGAGCCAAACAAGGGGTCCTACTAATTACTGCCCGAGACTGCCTGGGTAAACATAACGTTATGTATTATATGGTATAAGGCAGTGTGCTCTTGTATTAAATCGAAGTACCACTAGTTTTTTTTCAGGTTTTCTACTCACACCACGGCCCTTACTCTGCCTCTCAGTTTGTTAGAAATGTGCAACGTGAATGAAGTTAGTTTAGCTTGATCAAGCTTGTACTGTACGTTGAGTTTTTCCTATTTTTTTCATGTTAGGGTAAACAAGGTGACGTGGGTCTTCCTGGCGACACTGGTGATCCTGGACCAAAGGTATCTAGGAATTACCATTTATTACGTGTAAACACTAAGGACTGACATTTGGATGTTTGATCTGAGAAGTGCCCACCTTAAGGCCTGACATAGCGCGCTTATACACTGCTCTAGACACCCATATAGCTGAAAGCTTAAGAGTCCATTAGATGCGGCTCAATATGAAAATTCTGCTCATTATTGATGTCAAAAGAAATTAGTGTTCAGTATACGTATGCTTTCTGGAAATCCTGGAAACCCTGGATTTTTATTTGAATCCTGGAAACTCCTTGAAAAGTTCTGGAATTTCAAAGTGACTGCTTAAAAGGCCCGGTAAACTAAACTTGTGGGCAAGATAGTTAAAGTATTAGCAGTTCTGTTTAGACACGATTGATTTCAAAACTTTCTTGCGCATAGCATATCGATCTTTTTCGATAGTGAAATTTACTTGATAGCGATTATTTATAGTAAAAAGCTTGACTCTCGACTTATTGGCAAAATTATTTTTGTCATATTTCATATGCCCCTGGAAAACGCCTGCAAAACGAGAGCAGATAGGTTTAGCTCAACCGCGTCTACGTTGTAGGACTAGACGCCTTCGTCGGTGCTAAATCAGATATAGGTTAACTTAATTTGAACAGGGCTAACATAGACAATAAATTATCACATTTTGCATCATGTATGGAAAATAGTGTGTTTTATACATGTACCCCAGTTTAAATTTGCTTTGCTGTGTGTAACATGCTGTCACACATTCAATTTTTTTACTTCAAGTTATAGTAGTAAGGGAGAGTCTGTTCGTACCACCAGGGTGAAAGAAATTGCTAGTAAAAAGTTAATTAGCTCACTCACCCCAACCCCAAATATTATTGACTCGCACCAGGGTGAAAGAAATTGCTAGTAAAAAGTTAATTAGCTCACTCACCCCAACCCCAAATATTATTGACTCACGTCAAATCATCTTAATAATTATCTTGTTTTTATACATTTTCTATCTTGTTTTGTATGTCATGATTACTTGAACCCAAAGTTTGAATTTTTTAGGGAGCAACTGGTGAAGCAGGCCCACAGGGCGCAGACGGTGAAGATGGACGTAATGTGAGTATTATATATATATTACTAGAAATGCATGCATGCAGTAAACCCCTCGCCTTTCTTAACAGATTAAGGATATACATTTCACGATTAAAAACAATGGTAGTTGCTATGGTAACATGAAAATATTATGGGAAATATTAAAAGAGATAATTTTTTAACTAAAGAATTATTTATTTTCAAAATCTAGAATGTAGTTTTATGGCATTTGGCTCATCCATTATAATAACTCAAATTATAATTCTGTAAAATATTTAAAGTTATGAATTTATGCTTTGATTTTTAGGGCAAGGCAGGTGAACGCGGACCTCGTGGTGACAGAGGTCTACGCGGCTTGAAGGTATCGTATGTTGAAATATTTTGTATTCTTTTGACAAGGTGGTCTAAAGCAACTGTATTTGAAGAATGAATTGTCTCCTACAGAAGCTGCTACCGGTCTTTGAAATCCTTGAAAGTCTTTAAATTGGAATGCAGGTCTTTGAGGTCTTCGAAAAGTCTTTAAATTGTGTGAAAAAGCGACGAAAGTCTTTAAAAGTCTTTAAATTCTTTAGTGAGGAATTGATTATACGATTTCCTAGCTAATAAAATAGATTGATTGAATCAAGATTTTCGCAAATATCGACGCAAATGCGCATTTTAGGATGTGATTTGAAGGGACTAATTACTGGGTAAAAATGGTGCTTACACTCGCAATTTTTCGACAGCTGATTGCTCCCAAAGGTCTTTGAAAAGTCTTTGAAAATAGGCAGAAAGAGTCTTTGAAAGTCTTTGATTTTTTTTTGGTCTTGGAGACTACGAACCCTGTAGAGGGTCCAAGTAAGAGCAGGCAATGAATTCCAAATCATAAATGCTACAGGGCACTATCATAATATTATTATACAATGGACTAATTACGAATTCAGTTTATTCTGCCCAGCAAAGCAAGTCAAACTTTTGCTAATTTCTTATCCAGTTTTCATCCAAATTTAATCAATGTTGTGCAGATTGTGAAATCGTTTGAGATATTATGCGGATTTGTTTTATTTGAACTGAGCATTTGATTGGTTTCCGTTAATTCAGGGACCAATCACAGGCTTTGTTTACAAACTGCTGTGTTAATGTCTGAAATATGAAATCCAATTTTCATCCAAATTTAACCAAATCGTTGTTGTGCAGCTTGTGAGATCGTTTGTGATATCGTGCGGATTGGTTTTATTTGAACTAAGCATTTGATTGGTTTCCGTTAATTTAGGGACCCATCACGGGCTTTGGTTACAAACCTACTTGTGAATGGCATTATAAACTCCATAATCGCAACGAATTTTGGAACATTTTAGTCAAACGTTAGCTGCAATCAAGTGTAGGGTCTTATTAATTGCAATGTTGAATTTAAACCAGTAAACGTTTTCTTGTCAGAAAAAAACATTGCATACCCTTTGTTACCATTTACGAACTGTCACACTTATGTTAGGGCAAGCCTTTTCTCACCGATTTACGGTACACTGTAGTATAAAATTCGTTCATCCTTCAAGTTTTGTTGTTTTATGAAATACTGTATGTGTGATGATGTTTGCCGGCTTACATTGCGCCTCCATATTAACTGTGCATTAAGTTCTTTGTAGGATCGCATGGCGATAAAACATATAATACTTTTTGTTTGTGGAAACACCACGTAAATTTATCACTGCAATAATATAATAATTTATATTACTTGCAGTAGCATAAATTTACGTGTTGTTTCCACAAACAAAAAGTATGATAACTATGCATTGACATTAGGGACCTTTAGCAAATAGGTGACGGCAACGCGACGGCAACGCGACGACGACGGCCAAAATAAACTCGTTCGAATAAGTAACTTTAAGATCAACATTGACAACAACATGTCTTGTATTATCCGTTGTATGAATTTATTGCAATTTAAGAAGGTTGAGACAGAGGTTTATAGTTGAGAAGACTTCTACTAAGCCAATTTGGCGAGGACGATTTCTCGCGGCTCGAAAGGCAGACGTTGTGTACAAAACGTGAAAATATTTGGTTTGCTGTTGTAAACAGAGCAAGGACGACATCTAAAACTCCCATGGGACCTTTAATTATGCATTTTCTTTCTACACTGTCATAAATTTCATTGTATTAATAGCCGTCGCCGTCCTGCTAGCTAAAGGTCCCTATTTATCCTTATGCAACGGCTGAAGCCAACCTACGTTTTATTTTTATTAGGGTGCTCGCGGTAACCGTGGCCCTCAAGGTTCCAAAGGCATGCAAGGAGAACAGGTATGATACAAAATGATTTGTATAGGAGTAAATAAATTCGGAATGTACATAAATGAAATAGATGGCGTTTGCTGCATATATTTAGTAAAGGACGGCACGTCACACGAAGTTTCCTTTTATATGAGTTGATTTGCTCATGCTGCTTTGTAGTGGAACTTATTTATAGATAGGCATTGAAGTTATTTTGTTTTTGTCCGGATGTGAATAGTGCAAGGATATCCGGAGCTAAACAACCAATCAAATTGCGCGAAAAGCAGTATCCACCTACCAAGTATATGCTAACATCGATTAATCGTGTTGAAAAAATCTATACACGTCCACAGTGGTTAATAGGGAGTTTACGAATGTAGGACGGCGATGTCAGGACGACGGCTAAACAAACTGTTTGAAATAAATGATTGTATGAAAATCTTGTCTTGTATTTACTTTTCTATGAATTTAAAAAAGTTTCGAACGAGTAAAACAGAGCTTTGACCCTCCAAGCAATGTTAATCAACTCTGCTAGAAAAACTACCTGTCACGGCGTGCATTGCTGGCCTACTATACAATACGTGAAAATATGCATTTTGCCGTTGTCAACAGAGCTTGGACGACGTCTAAAACCCCTGTTAGACTTAATTATTCATTTCTTTTGTACTATAGGATTAATGTCATTGTATTGATAGTCGTCATCCTGACGTCGCCATCTCACATTCGTAAAGTCCTTAATGTCGCTTCCAAGAAAGGAGCATGTATTCCAGTTTCTATTTGACAGCCAATGGGAGCTCTAATGGAAGCTTAGGGATCAGAACAAGTCACGTTTTTGCCATTTGTTCACATGGACAATACCATCTCCTCTTATATTTTTTTTAATCGGTAAAAACGTCATTCCGGGATCATGCCAACGGCTGTTTTGTTGATTCGATTATTGTTAAGAATAATCTATTCCCAAAAGGCACAAAAAATAATCGATCAATCGCGTGCAGCTCCAACTGAGTTTTAGTAGCGGATTGTTTTAGGGTTTCCTGATTGTATAAACAATCTTCACAGTTTATTTTTTGCCTTTCAGGGTAAATCTGGTGAGGCTGGCGAAGAGGGTAAAGTTGGAGCGGTGGTAGGTCATTCTTCAAGCACTTTTTACAAAGAGTTCAGTATTCTTTAATACGAGGCTACGAGCTATCTGTAGTTTTCCAAGATGAATTTCCATGTTGTATATAGTTTGTTTTCAAAAACAATTATCCGTATCCGAAACCTGATGATGGATTTACCAAACAGTCCCTATAGGGAGAAGGATATTTTCGAGTTTCGTTTTCATTTTATTCATGCGTAATTTTCGTGTGCAGTAATAACCAATTTGTGTAGTGATATAAAGTATTGGCGAGTGTTTTCCAAAGCATTGCGCGCTATAAAAAGCAATTAAACCCGCCGTTTTCAGTAATTCATTTGTAAACTATTTTGTTTATTTTGAAAAACACCTTTTTTTATTCTTATTGGTTTATTTGCCCAAAAAAAGAAAGACTGTTAGCTATTTACAAGATATTAATAAAATAAAGTCGGCGAGGAGACCTCAAGAAGCTTAGAGCTTGTGTAAAGAGGCCACCTCATCTCAAAAATTCAAAGTTAAATATTTAATCTAATTCAGTAAAGAACTCTTGTCATAGATTGCTAATTCAGTAAAGAACTCTTGTCATAGATTGCTTTTAGTGGGCATTAGGCCTGGTTGTCGTTTTAGTTAATCCATATTGTGTCGTCCATAAAATTGGACTGGCGGGCACCAGTAATCTCTCAACTGAAAAAAAAAACAATTGCCTAAAGGATGGATTGGCTTTTGCAATTCTTTCTAGAATTTGAGCCCGCAATGCAATAGTGTGACACTAATACATTAACCTAAGGAATGTGTAGTGATTTATAAATGATGTTTTATTTGCGGGTTGAATCTGTACTTATTTGTTGTGTATACCAAGCCTTTGCTTTTGATTTAGGGTGAACAAGGGGCTCCTGGAACACCTGGTCCTCAAGGTCCAAGGGTAAGCATAGCTACTGTGTAACGTGTTTCGTGCTTTGTGACACTAGCCATTCCATGTCTTGTAAAGCCAAAAACAGCATGAAATATTGTTACAATGGGCCGGTTGTATCAAACTCTTTAACTATCCCTTAACCACGTGATCAAATCGGTTGTATAAAAATGTAGTTAGGGTAAACTGCATTTAAAACGTATGGTTAACGTATGCCTTGGATATTATTAACCCTTGGTATTTGGACGAGAACTAGGAATTCAAAGATAACCTCCTCAGAATTCAGAGAAATTCCGTCTCCTAACTTTACTGATTATCTGTTTTGTATGTATAGGGTAAGAACGGAAAACAAGGAGCTAAAGGCGAGCGTGGGCAAGACGGAGAGCAGGTAGGAAAATGTTAATTCGATGGCCAAAGGCAGCGTTACGCAATGCTTAATATAGAAATGATGGGGTAATGAGGGATAATGTGCAGAGAGTTTTCATTATTGCCACGCCCCACTAACCACCTCTCAATCTACTGAATATTGCGTAAATTTCGCCCTGTTATCCACCGAGTTACTTGCAAAGATGGCAAGGAATTGAAAAGTGTTATTTTCCCTGGCTGATTTACAGATTTTATTGAAAAAACAAGCTTACAATTGACATTTGCATTAAAATTTACATATATAGTTAATGAAGAGAAAAATAAATTTGTATAGAGAGTGAGTCTTGTGCCGTGTTCAAAGTAGCTGAAAGTTTTCGAGTTGGCACTGCCTACAATTTATAATGAATTTTAAAAATTGGGTCCTAGAAATTTTAGCTGAGGAACGAAAGAAGTGGAACGTATTTTCTCACCCACCGCTGAGACTGTTTAATAGCGACCTCGAGCATGTAGGACGGGAATGCGACAGCAAACAAACTCGTTGCTGATTGCTGAAGAAAACTTGTCGTCAATTATCCATCGTATGAAAAATAATACAGTTTAAGGATTGAGGTTAACACAGGGTTTGATTGAGAAAAGTTCTAGGACCCAATTGAAAGTAGCAGTTGTCCCAACTTGAAATGTAAGCGTTGTATACAAGACGTGATGATTTTGCCGTTGGAAACAGAGCGACGGCAACGTGTAAAACTTGTGTGGGATTTTAATTGTTCATTTCTGCTCATTTTCGTATATTAATATTCTATTATTAGCCGACCTCGTTGTACTATCGTCCAGCTTGTTGAGGTTCATAACAGTAGTTCTTTGCAATTTTGAAAGTGTAAAATTTAAGGCCGTTTCTTGTTCTGTCCCCGTACTAGATTAAGCCTTGCCTAAGTTCGCTAATAAGTGGGTGATGCGGGTTTCGCAAACACATTGTGCTGTTGCGTCCGTCATTGCTTGACTAAATACACCCGCCCACCCTGCCCTTTTTTTAAGACTTCAAGATTACCGACTGGCCATGAAATGGACAAAAGACTGAACTTTGCTATTTCTTAGATTTATTGTTAGTTAGATTGTATGTAGTTGCAGTAACCACTGCACAGTTGTATTAGCTGTAAATTATTAATTGCGGCGGATGGCAGCAGTGCGGCTCCGAATGGTGTGTGAGAACGCTATCTAATGCAATTTTACTCTACATTGTTGGAAATGAACTTTTTATTGTCTATGCATGACAATCTCAAGCCTTAATGCTTGGCGTTTGAGTCTGGCGGTTCAACGCTTCGTAGGGCTCAGGATAATCTACAGACGGCAAAATGAAAACGAGAATTAACTAGAAGATTGGTTAGCGGATGAGTTAAGCAGTTGGCAATTTGTTTTTAGGGTCCAATAGGTGTACCTGGACCAGATGGTCCCCAGGGTCGACAAGGTCCTGTCGGAATCAGTGGTCGTCCTGGAACTCCTGGTTCTAATGGAAGAAAGGGTGAACAGGTAATATCAATACAGCTGTCAAACATTTTAAAAATAGAAAGCACTTTCTGTGTTTCTATGCACTTATGAAATAATGAGTGGAAAAGCTACCCCGAAGGACGAGTTTTTCCACGTTATTTCGCTGTATAGAAACACAGGAAAAAGTGTTCTCTATTTCTTTTATAAGATATCTCAAGAAATGTTTTGTAGCCACTTTTATAGCGATTAATTTAAAAATTCTTATTACCCCCAGCATAAAATCCACTCGCTCGGTTGTCCGGCGTTTACTCGTCAATTTGAGTATACAATAGTTAAGTTCTTAATTCACTACCTACACTTGGAATTCCCTTTAGAATGACCTGTGGGTCGAGGGTAGGGACTAGTAATCGGGACATCTGAATTTGTTAGTGAAGGGGCCATCAAATAAAATGGACCTAACTGGGAGGTCATGTATATTTTTGTACTTTTTAGCCTCGATAGCCTAAAACACTATTCTTCACTAAGTCATTCTTCTCTTTTTTGCTTATATTTAAATGGAAGCGACCTTTATTTGGGGGGCGGGGCATAGTTTATTGGATGGACGAACCCTGGAGTTGGAAGGGCTTGTCCCTCTCAGTTTATATGTTAAAAGAGGCCCTGTGTTCATTAGAATGGGTGGTAAGAAAAGAGTAGGCACCTCTAGTGGTTTGAGGGGTTTTCTGCAAAACTCCTGTTTTCCACCATACCCCTTCCACCATAGCTATGGTCTGTGATCAGGCATTAATGACAGCCAAAGGCGCCGTAGAAACCTTCGACTCTTTGTTATAAGGAGGAATAAATTAGCACCCTCCTTCACTTGTAGATCCGTCCTAAATAATATCTACATTAAATAAACTACGGTAAACAAGCTGTTGAGGTCTCCTTTCAATTTAGCTCGACTATCATCTCACTATATAGTCTGTATTTTTAGGGACCACGCGGTTATGACGGTGAAAATGGTAATGATGGTGCGGAAGGCCAAAACGTAAGAAATTATTTGCGAGAAACAATCGCCTAACTTCAAGTTTAAATCAAAACAATGAATGACTGCATCGCATAGAAGACAGTGGGATTTTCGGACCATGAAAAGGCAGTGTAACATTTCGATCACTGGATCGTAGATAGCAGTACTGTAAAAACTCGCATACAAGAACCACCAGGCTCAAATATAAAAAATACAAGAACTACTTCAGGCTAACAAATGAGTCTGGTTTTAAAACAAATAAAACGTTAACTTTTGTTCTTTATCTGAAGCACAATTGTACATGTTTAAAAAGGCAGATATAAACTTGATATGTTAATCTGTTGGGAAAACACTAAACCAGGAACAATTTTTTTTACTAGAAATATGAACCGGTTAAAAACCAACTCGGCTTAATTTCTCAATAAGTACCACTGCAGTTTGACATAAAAAAATTCGGTTCTTTTATGCGGGTCTTACTGTTACTCAATGTGTTGTGCGAAGGTCCATTAATGTGTATACTGTATTATGTTGTTTTCTAGGGAGCTGATGGCGATCCTGGTGTTGATGGTCCTCAAGGTCCACCAGGACCCAAGGTAAAATCAATAATATATATGAGGTATATGTTAGCGAATCATACCTGCGCGCAGGCCTTTTTAGTATTAAAGTTTGTGTTCATACCGATTCTGTGATTTACTAATGAACCTCCGGTCAAACGAATACGAGAGGTGATGAGTGTTCAGAACCGACAGTTTACATTACGTTTCGCAACTGCCATACCCCAGTCAAACGAGAACAAACGTTGCGTGAAAATTGACGAGACTTGTGGACTGGATACTACTGGTCAAACTAGAAAAACTCGTATGAACAGTATTTGAACCTGCTCAAAGTTGATGAGATCATGAGGGTACATGAAAGTCAATTAGAGTTTGGCAGTCAAACGCGTGCGAGATTTGGAACTCTCATCAACTCTTGTCAATTCTCATCCTCTTTCATCGGGCCTTTAGATTTCATTACATTGTATAAGTGATCGAATTTTGGCATGCTGGTAACATTACTGTCTATACTTGCTTGCTTGCTTGCTTCCTTTGCTTGCTTCCTTTGCTTGCTTGTTTGCTTGTTTGTTTGTTTGTTTGTTTGTTTGTTTGTTTGTTTGTTTGTTTGTTTGTTTGTTTGTTTGTTTGTTTGTTTGTTTGTTTGTTTGTTTGTTTGTTTGTTTGTTTGTTTGTTTGTGAGTTTGTTTGTGAGCTAGACTAGGTGAGCTAGACTAATAGAATAACTACAGCATTTTCTTTCTTATCTAGGGTTTCAAAGGTGCCGCTGGTTCACCCGGTGAAAACGGCGATCCTGGATACCCGGTATGATAATAATTTTCAATGTCTGATTTGTGGTTTAGACTTTATGGTGGCGTCCTAAACACACCTGGGTAATGGCAAGGGTATTGAAATCTGTAAAACTAGAGACCTTAAGATTGACGTTAGCAATCAGACCGTTGACCGCAAACGGCAAATACTGTAAATTAAAAATAATGTAGCTAAAAGTCCAAAGTTGATGAAATCGTTCAAACGTATATTGATGGTTCCCTTGACCAGTTTGATGCAGAAAGTATGAAGTGATAAGAGCCCTGTGCACTGTGAAAATGTAAGAGTCATGTGCACTGTAAAGACTGAAGTCAAGGCTAATTTTACAGTATGTATCTTGTTTATGAACCCCCCTGCACAAACATGAACAACAAAACTGCCTGGTCAAGCGACTTAATTTTAAGTTTTTTTGTAGCTTTTCATGTCGATAGTATAATTTGTGGAAACAGCGCGTATATTTATTATCCAAGACTAAAATCAAACCTAACTGTCCTTGGCTATATTGTTTACCGTATGTTTGCCTTCCTCTCCTGGTGAGGGTGCTTACTTCCTAACCGTGAGGCGAATTTCCTAAACGGGAAGCGAATTTCCAGGCGCTGATCATTCGCGAAACGCGCCCAAAACGTCCATCGATAATTTGGTTAACTTTATCGAGAATAGCCTGTTTACAGTTATATTTGAAATCGGAAAATGCGGTTTTCGAACAGACCCTATCGACCATCGTGATATGACATTGAAGGAATACAATTGAACATATGTTCATCCATTGCCTTGTAGGGCGATGCAGGAGCTGAAGGACCCAAGGGACCAACTGGTGATCCTGGACAAGCTGTAAGTAACATGGCTTATCTGACCTGGGGCGGGGGTCGAATAGAATATTATTTATTACATTTACAAGTGACCAATTACAAGGTTTTGGAACGCTGTTGAAAAGTGCTCTTCGAGCTTTTGCTTCTTAGCAACCCCCAAACTTTATCTTCTCAATTTTGGAAGAATTACACATGTTGCCTTCGTAAAGGAGTGGGAGGAAACATTGTTTTTAAGTGTTAAGTGACACCTTTGTCATTAGTATTGGAATCCTAGCTCGACAACTGCCTCTCTGTAGCTCAGTTGGTTAGAGCACTGCACCGGAATCGCAGGTTCGAACTCTGCCAGAGGGCCGATAGGTACATTCCTCGCAACTGTTCGTGGTTAGATCTAATAAATGTATAAAAATTCCACACGAAGTTTTCATCTACCCTTCAACAATATCCTAGAATCCTTTCGGGAGATGTTAATGTATATCAAATTTAAATTTGATTTTTCTTGCGCAATATGTGAAGTAATTGACTTTTTAATAGGGACCAGTCGGTAGTGCGGGAGCCAAGGGTGGTACTGGATCTGATGGCGATCAGGTGAGTTTTCTGTAAACATCTTTTGTTCACGTTTCCATTGCAGTGAATTGAGATGTTCTGGACGAACATGGTCGTCCTTATGATCGTCTTCACGTGGTTTTATTTGCTCCGTTTTGCTCAGGATTTTACTGTTCTCCCAAGCATGCTTGTATTATATTGTGTTCCACAGTATTCTACAGGGAATGTTGACAGGGCTGGTTTGGATTATCCCCTTAACTGACCATTTCACCGTTGCTCAAACATGAGTCATAAGGTGGCAACCAGGATAGCTCTTATAGAAAGCCTCCGACCTGTGTCGTACCGTATCTCTCTCCTCCGCAGAGGCTTTAGTTTTCTTAGGATTTAACATTTCGATGAGATACATTTCACTACACTTTACATGGCGGATCTTGGAACACGAGCGTAATTAAAGCCTCCGCGGAAGAGAGAGGTACCGTATTGTGTTATAGTATACAAATAATTAATGTTTAAAGTGCATATGGCATGAAATTTATTATTTTCTTAAATGAAAGAACTCTTTAAGCTGTAGTGTAACTTATATTTCAGTTTCTTGTTTTTTTTTTGGTTTGTTCCCGAGATATTTCAATTTGTTTGATATGTAAATGAGTGTGAATATGTCCGCTAATTTATGACGTCACGTTGGTTGCAAGCTCAACTTACACTGGCTATAAATATATTAACTCTAAAAACTGAAAATATCAGTTCACGTTTTTCTCCAGTGTTTCATCACATTTACCAGTGAGGGAAATTTGAAGTTATCATCTTGATAGCAGTGATATTCAATCATTTTCAGGAGCTTGCAACCAAAGTGACGTCATAAATTAGCGGACATATTCACTCTCATTTACATGTCAAATTGAAATATCTCGGGAACAAACCATAAAAACAAGAAACTGAAATATAAGTTACACTACAGCTTAAAAAGTTCTTTCATTTAAGAAAATAATACATTTTATGTCATATGCACTTTAAAGATTCCATCTTTCACCGAATGAAAATCGTTTTACTATTGCACGAATTAAAGCATTCATTATTTGTTTTATATCACACCAAAAAATACTGAAAATAGATACATTTTATCGAATTTTAAAGTGAATTAAGTACAAAACTAATCATACCTTGCTCAAAAAGAATTAGATATGACAATGGTAGTCATTTATCGTGAAAATATCGTATTTTTACACCCAACATTTTGCTTCGCACGATTTATGTACTTGAATTCAATTCCAACGGTCTCCGTATGGAAGTTATTTTTAGATGAGTTACTATCACGATACGAATAGGATTTTGAATGATTGCATTTAATTCAACCTTACCGTGCAATAGTACAAGTACTAAGTTCTTTGATGATAAAAGATATAATAGTTTGTTTGTGGAAACGCCACGTAAATTTATTACTGCAAAGCTAGTACAAGTACTATTGCACGGTAGCAAAATGGGAATTTTAATTCCATATCACGTGATTATAATAGGCCAATTAAGTTACTAGAAAATTAATCAAGTGTTATATAATTTCCTCTGTATTGTCGCTTATACTACGTGATCGCAAACTGTACGTCATTTTTTAGGGCGCACGCGGTGGTCGAGGGGAGATCGGCGACGTTGGTGTTGGTGGTTTGAAGGTATGTGATAATACTGATTAATTATCAATAGTTGTGTTTACTAGGGATGGGCCGATATCGATACCAAATACTCGATACTGTCGATACCAGGGTTTTGAAGAAAAGTATCGATACTGGCAAGAAATATCGATGTTTCGATATTTCTGCGCCCGCGATATTTTTCATTTTGGTCAGCGACATCATCATGAAAATGATACCAAAAAGCCTAAATAGGCGTAAATAGTTCATTTTCTATGGTGCTATAATTGTCCACGGGAAGGATGGGAGTTTCTGGTTATGTTGGTTGCAATCACTGACATATGTTATTCAATGTTTATATTGTTAGCGTTGTGGCCGTTGTTAATATTTCAAGTTGGGAAAATATGGCAAAAAAACGGCAAATATCGAGCAAATATCGTATCGAATGAAAAATCTGGTATCGCCCATCCCTAGTGTTTACTAGATGACTGAGCATGTCGCTTGACTACATCAATCTAAACGAATTTATGGAATTACATCTACCATGTTGATTTTGAACTTAGCAATTCAGGAGTTTTCATATAAGAACATTCGGTGCTCAAAACAATGTAAGCTTTTGGGAGTGTACGTTCACGTTGGTGACGTATCGGTTGGTACATCTATTCAGAAAGAACACCTATAACCAATCAGAGAGCTTTAATACAATCATCCAATAAGGAAACAGAGTCCGGATCTGATCTCAAACTGATTGGCGCGGCTCAATGAATCAATTGCCGCTTTCAACCATGCAGAGGTTTATTTTTCCTCTCCTCTCCCCTACCCAATGAAAATAATAAAAAATAAACCTCTGGTACCAGGGTGCTTTTAAGCTAGTTTTCCACTTCGATCGTAACGTATCGTAGCATTTTCTTTTGTGTCGAAGTAATTAGTTCCACTCTAGTACCCAGGAAACAAAGAAATACGCTTCGCTGCGATTGAAGTGGAAAACAGGCTTAAAACATCGATTTGACGTCGAAAATGCAACCTGGAAACGACGTCGACATCTAGACGTTGAAACGACGTCGATTTCTGGACGTTGAAACGACGTCGATTTCTGGACGTTGGAACGACGTCGATTTCTAGACGTTGAAACGACGTCGATATCTAGACATTGAAACGACGTCGATATCTAGACGTTGTAACGACGTCGATTTCTAGACGCTGCAACGACGTCGATTTCTCAACGTCGATTCCGTTTGCGTTTTCAACCCTTTTTCGACGTCGATTCGACGTCATCCTCCGACGCTGTTTCGACGTCGCTTTGCCGGCTGGGCTGTTTCTTTATCCGGTTACAACTATATGTTTCGTCTCTCTTGTTCTTCATAATATTTTACGGGTACAGCTGTGCTGATGTTATCTGTCTAAATTTGTCGTCTCCACGTTTCTTTAGGGCGCAAGGGGCAGCAAGGGCCCGAAGGGTCAAACTGGTCAAAGTGGTGATGTTGTAAGTATATCCCTCACGTTTCTACCTAGAGTTTCTACCTTGCATTATTTTCCACGATCGGAAATTGCAGTCACAAATTGACACCCAAGACGAGCTAGTTCAGTGGATTGTACGGCTTATTGACCGAGCGTGAGGTCTGTACTGTGAAATATCAGACCGAGGTTTTTTAGTATGGACCGAGGTCTGATATTTCACAGTACAGACCGAACAAGCGAGGTCAATAATCGGTTTATTATATGGCTGAACTGAGTCCGTGAGCATATGCTTTTCGCGCGAATTAAATCGGCTATCGTCAGTTTCACAATGTACGGTAGGCATGCATGCTCAATCGAAAACAATTTGGTTTTGTTTGAAATTTTTATCTGTAAATTTTAATGACACACAATTGGAAAACTGAAAGGCAAAAAGTATTTCTGTTTGCAAAGCAAAAATTTCCCGCCAGATAAGCGACATCTGGGACACAGGTCCAGATGTGGAAAATACAGAACACTGTCCAGATATGGGTTTTTACGGACCTAAAATATTTTTGGCGTTCCCTTTGTTTTAGCTTTATTTTGTAGTTTATATTCTGGCGGTTGAGAAACACAAAATAGTAGTTAAATATTGTCAATTTAAATACAATTATCATTACTGTAAAACTGACGCCATATTTATATACAGCAATATAAGCAAACTTACTGGACAGATAAATCACTAAACATACTTTTAAAGTTTGTTTGCCGCTGACAAACGTATCAGAAATTTTAAAAATTCAATATAGTCATAACCAAGTGGAAAAAGCGAAGCTCCGACTCCAGCACATAGCACTAATTTCCGGTTGTGCCGTGAAAAACGGTGTTTCCAAATTTCCATGACGTTATCCTGTGTTGCAGCAGTAATTGTGATTAAATAGTGTTTCCACTTTTCTGTTTCTAGGGTCCGACTGGTAAACCTGGTTCTCCTGGTGCCCCCGGACCCCCAGGTGTTCAGGTAAATAGATTACTTCAGTTTTGGTGAGGGGGGGGGGGGAGAAGGTGGATGACAGCGCGAAACCTATACGTAAAAGTAGGAATTGGAGATGAGAACAATTTTAGAAATTATAGCTAGTGACGTCATGAATATTTTTCCTTAGTTATAATAATTGGTCGTAATCGCTTGTTACTTCTTAATGAAGCAAAGACAACTTTATTGAACCTAATGTTATTTCAGGGTACAAGTGGTGATACGGGTCCAAAGGGTCTTGTTGGAGGCGACGGTGAAAAGGTTAGTTCGTTATGAGATTGAGAATAAACAAAGTAACAACAAGTGCGACAATACAAAACAAAAGCTCTTCCCTTGAACAAATGTGTGCATGTTATAGATACTCAGACTTTTCCATTGAAACATGTGTCATTGCCCAGATGTTTGTTTTTGTCTTTGAAAAATTAACTACAGGATACTGATGGCGAACAATAGAGGACAATTGCTAGGACAATTTTAAAAGAATAACGTTTACATACTTGTAATCTTGAATAGACCTTTCCCCTTATGAGTGAAATTTTGAAACTTCGTAATATTACTAATTTTGTGATGCTCTTTCCAGTCCAGTTTTTGTCCAGGCATATCTAGATCAAAATTTCTCTCATAAGGGGAGAGGTCTATTCACTCGTTCGTTACCACATGTGTCAGTTTAGTGGACGCAAACGTTCACAGCTTATATATATATATATATGAAACTGATTTTAAAAAAGAATGCAAATGAATATTCTAATGTTAAGCCCGCAAGAATTGTTGGAATAAGTGGACAAAATACACCTGTGACGTCAATTGGAATACATGCCATTGATTTTGTAATTGTCAGAAAATGTGCAAATTTTGAAGTGAAGTGAAGGGAATGTTAATTCTGCTAAATGAATGCCATAAATTGGGTAAATGGCAACATTCGTTCTTATTTTAACCCAGTGCAGGATTGCAGGATATTTGGTATTCTATTTATATATATATATATATATATATATATATATATATATATATATATATATATATATATATATATATATATATATATATATATATATATATATATATATATATATATATATATATATATATATATATATATATATATATATATATATATATATATATATACCGAAGTATAGAGCTAATATAGATAAAGATAAAATAAACCTGGTTTACTTCATAAATAAATAAATCTTATGAAGTAAATAAATCTTGTGAATAAATCTTATGAAGTAAACCAGGTTTATTTTATCTTTATATATATATATATATATATATATATATATATATATATATATATATATATATATATATATATATATATATATATATTTTTATATATATATATATATATATATATATATTTTTATATATATATATATATATATATTTCCAAACGAGTTTTCACACGAGTAAATTCATCATTGTTATCTAACCTAATTTGTCACGGACCTACTTAAGATTGAAAGCAATCCATGAAAGTGACATTAGACACCTCTGAACGATACTACTGTCGGACTGAATGTGGCATAAACGTCGGTATTTTTAACATTTAATACATGGCATTATATTTATACTTTCTAAAACTGTTAGTGCCGAAGTATTCTATGAGGCGACAGTGACTTTCGGAAGAAAGAGGAACGACAACCATTTTTGGAATCGGTCTGTAACTTGAAAATCCTGGAATTCCTAGAATTTTAAGAAAAAAGTAAATCAATGTCTGGATTAGTGCAATGTCCTTAAAACTCCTGGAATTTCTTTCTAGATGTGCTGATACCAATTGAACATTATTTAGACTATTGATCTTGAATGAATAGTAGTGTTTCAAAAAAGCAAAATCCGTGGTATTCTCCAAAGATTTATATCAATAGGTTCTTGAATATACTGAAAAACGAATTTCCTCTTCTCTAATGGGTGGAAACCCTGATAACTGCTAATGTAATGGCCCAGTGGGGACAATAAGCCAGTAGCAGAATTCGCATTAAACCGGTTGGCTAATCATCTTTTGCATTATACTTAGTATATTGTTTGTTATTTTAGGGTCCAGAAGGTGCGATAGGTTACCCTGGTTCTGATGGTGCTAGTGGTCCCGCTGGACAAGATGGTACCCCTGGTAACGATGGTCCAAATGGTGCTACTGGTGATAAGGTATGGAGCTATGTTAACAGGCGGTCCCTGCAGGTACATTAAAAAGGTTGGCTAAAATGCAAAATGCTATTAATCCCTTCTAAACATCGACCATTTGCTGAATATGTGTCGTATATAAGTGCCTCGTTCAATAATGTGGGTCAAATTCGGATAATAAATAACTCCTGTGTTCTTGCGATTCAATCTTTAAACTGGAGTTTTAATATATTTTCTAATGATTCCTAAGTTTCTTTGTGTGTTTAACAAAAAAAGTGGACGGGCATCCGGACAGTTCTAACCACTGAACTATATATATAAGAAAATGTACTGCAAAATCTCTGAATATTTTAGGGGCCATTCACAAAGGATGTCCGGCTAAATGATGGATTTTCAGACCCCCCCTCCCCCCCTTGTCCGGCATTGTCCGAATTAGTGACCCCCCGGACATCCGCCATGCCTCGCAAAAACTCACGCAACCTTTTATATATATCAAGAGTAAAAAACTTTTTTTTACTTAGAACTTTTTTACAACTATAAATGTGAACACAAAAACATATAAATTACTAATTAAAACAAAATCTAGTGTTAACCGCATAGTCAAAATACCAATTTCACAATGGGAAGGACTGCTCAAAATAGAGGGGAAAAAAAATTGTTTTTGAATTTTTTTAAATTTCGGACATCCGGATTGCTAAAAAAAAAACCTCCCCCCCTATGTCCGAGTTTGTCCTGATTTTCCAAACCCCCCCTCCCCCCCTCGGCTCGGACATCCTTTGTGAATGGCCCCTTACTAATATATTTTTGGCGGACGGAAAATTTTCATGTTTGAGCCTACGTTCTTATCAATATCGGTCATTACCATTGGAAAAACGAACCAAATATGGTCCCGGTCACTTGGCGTTGCGTCAGGAGCCATCCTGTTTTTACGACACTTTGTCCAGTAGAATTACAAACCGCTTTTAGGCCCGCTTGCAGGTGGGATTTTAGATGGATTTTCTTCTTCTGCTGGATGTGAACGAGTGGATGTGTTATGAATGCTCAGATGAGGGTACGTCATTGAACTATAAATAAACTGGAAGGCTAACTCAGGGGGGGGGGAATTGAAGCCAGTGCATTTTAGTTTTTCTGAGTTATGAGCAGAAATACTCAACACTGAACGTTGGGCTATATATCAAATTGAAGCTATTGAAAAACGCTATTTGGTGTAGAAATTTCAAGACTTTAGCTAAAAGGGAAATATTAAAAAATTACAAACATAATTACCGATAATTTGCCGTTTTGCAGTTGTTTTTGTATTTTTTAAATATTTTTCTTTTCGCTGAAGTCTTGAAATTTCCACACCGAATAGCAATTTTCAATAGCTTCACTTTGATATATAGCCCGACGTTTGGGGTCAAGTATTTCTGCTCATAACTCAGAAAAACTATTTTGGCTTCATCAAATCATAGGCCTTCATCATAGCAGTTAGCCTTCCAGTTTATTTATAGTTCAATGGGGTACGTATACTCAGAACATTCATAACCCATCTACTCTTTCCCATGTGTCAGAAGACGAAAATCGGCTTAGAAATCAAAGCAAAAATTATAGGTGTAAATGGGCATTTACTGTAGCCAGAACTTGCAATAGAGGCCATAACATAGTCGTTAGTGCATGTGCAAGGCGTCGGTTTTGCATTGTGAAAAAATGTGAGAAAATCTTTAAATCAACATTTCTTTTATATTAATGTATGAATTCTTGTTTCTTAGGGTCCCCAAGGTCCCCCAGGCCCTAATGGTGAAGCTGGTCCATCTGGAGAGCGGGTAAGTTACTGTTGCTTATACATGTAATAAAATTAAATATTTCTCAAAAATTAAAAAAAACACGTTTTCAACTGTATAAATTTTATCTTCTATACTATGTGATATCTTTCTCCACCCGTTAGCGTATTTTTACGTTAGTGTATTTTTCGCGATAATGGGGGCGGGGGGGGGGGGGGGGGGGGGGGGGGGGGGCAATATTCATATATTCGTGTTCACAGACCTTAAAAACAATTGACTTCAAAAGAAATTAATGATGCAGAACACGAATATATGAATATTGCCCCTCCCCCTCCCAATTATCGAGTTTGCTACGCCACTGAGTTCGACCTCTGAAAACTCGACATTGAAAGATTTTTAGAACAAACCGAATATATGTAGTAAAAGTCTAGAAAATACATAAATTCTCGCTTCCAGATAGTTCGAGGTATATTGTCAATCGTATGAATTTAATACAGTTTTAGAAGTTAAAGATATGGGTTTTAAGGCCCTGTTACACTATTGCGTATCGTACTAGCGTATGCCAGCATATTAAAAATATCACTCATACGCCGGTATACGCTCACATACGCTAGGGGTACGTTAGGCATAGGTTGTATACATTTCAAGCACGGTCGCATACAGTGTCATACGCTGGCATACGGCGAGGCAGAATTTTTTTTTTAAGCATATTCAAAAATTTTGTGCGTATCGGACGTATGGCTTTATACGATAAGCATACTCTAGGCACACGCTGAATACGCTAGAGGTACGCCAGATGTACGGTACTCATACGCTGGCATTTCAAAGGATTTTTGTGCGTATTAAAATGATTTCATTAATTTTCATACGCTTCTCATACGTTTCTCTCGTACGCAATAGTGTGACAGGGCCTTTATGGTTGGGAAGAGTTCTGCTAAACCCAGTTTGAAGTTGCACTTGATGCGGCTTGGAATGCGGCCGTTGTATCAAGACGTGAAATTATGTGATTTGGCGTTGTAAACATAGCGAGGACAATGTCTAAATTATTCATGTATTGTAATTACTCAATTCTTTTCAATGATCTATTGTATTGGTAGCCGTTGTCGTCCTAAAATCGTAAGGTCTCTATTACTGGCAATCACGGCCAGACATTTAAATTACGTTTCACGAGACGAAAGTTCGTCATTTCACATTTCACGATTGCAAATATTGGCAATTAACAAATACCTGAGCATCCCATTATAACTTTTCTTCGGCCCCACACCATTTTAAATAATTTTGTCATTTGTATTCTTTTTGGCAGAAATAAATCGTCTTCTCATATGCTAATTTATATTTCTTCTGCTTTGGCTATAGGGTCAACTAGGTCCTCAAGGTATGACTGGAGAAGTTGGGCTAGCTGGTCCTCAGGTAACGTAGTATCTTGGTATTATAAATATTAAATACATTTAAGTTGTTAGATTAAACGTGGGGTGAAATAGTTGCTCTTGTTGTATTCAAAGCTATTTCTTTTAACTCTAATATGATACTCATTACCCAGATCTAAATATAAAAACCACTATATTTCGCGATGTTATCATGTTACCTGGCCCATGCTATTATAATATTAAATGACATCGCTCTAAGGGTGAGTGTGTGCCACTAACCAATTTAGACGTTGCACATCTGAATAGTTTCATTTCCTGCAGCAATTGCCGTTTTCCGACGAATAGTGCATCCCCATCGTAGATATCTTATATACACTGGATAGTGCATCTAATTATTCTGCAATTCAAAAATTGAAGCCGTGATTGCAGTCTCAGGTCGTTCCCATGAAATGAGAGAAGATTCGTATATTTCCTATTTCTTAAACAGGGAACTTGAATATTAAGTTAATCCTATTCCATTTTTAAAGTATTCAAATGATGAAAGTTACTGTTGTTTTTAAGCGTTTATTAGCGAGTGGGAACGACCAACATGGCCGCCATCTATTGAAATGGGGGTAACCGCTGGAATATTCTTGGCTTCAATTTTACTAAAAGATATGCGCTATCTAGTGTATATAAGACATCTATGATCCCCATGCACTACCCTACATTTAGCTCTTGATCATTTACACCTTTTACTATCGCCAGAGTATTACGTATTTGTTTAAATTTAATAGTTGGACCCAGTATCTCGTGGCCAGCACTTGTAGTAGTTAAAAAGAAAAATAATAGTTATACATTTAGTTATATAAAATGTATAGTTTGTCTCATTTGAAAGAGCTTTAGAAATAAATAATTATTAAAAGCTTTCATAACTTGCTTAAGGTAATTCCGCAGTAATTGTTCCCGAAATGAGAATGTGCTGAAACTTCCCAGGCATGGAGTTTATGATATACTTAAAGTAAAATCACACAAAAAAGTCGGGGTCACCGAACTCGTTAAGAAGATATGACAATCACAATATACCACCTTTACCCCCAATATGGCGCCATCTTGACGCTCATTACGAGTAACAGCAAAATCACAACAGCCCGATATTTATTGACGTTTTTAGCGCGGATTTTGCTTTAGTAAACCTATCTTGTAATTATTTTTGACACAATATTGCGTTTTGAGCAAAATGAAACTACTAACGTATACAATTCTGATCCACAAATCTCTTTTCCACATTTCTTTACATATCTTTCTTTGAGAACATGCATCGATAAAGGATTTTTTTTTCAAGATCCAGAAATGATTTTTCTTTTAATTTCGGATATGAAATGTAAAATGCATTAAGGAAATAAATTATCAGTTGAAAAACGGGGGTCGCCGATCTTTTTAGAGAATTGTGGAATTAAAACGTAAAATACAAGTAAATAAATATACTACAGAGACAGGGAACCCTAGCTACTCTTTTTGTATGCCTTTTTTGAGAAAAAAATGATTTTAACGTAATTCTTTGCACGAATGTAACCAAAGATGTTTTGAAGTAACATAAAATTGTCATAAAATGATTTTTTTAAGTGGTATATGTATAATGGATGAAATTATAAGTTATAATATGTGCGCAGTAAAAGTGCGCCATGCAAAACTGCGGAATTACCTTAAGATTCTTGAAATATTTTGAATGAAAACCGTGAGGTGTCCACCATCTTGGATTGTTCAGGGTATTATTCAGGCAGATAGAGGCTCAAAATTATGGAAAAATTACTATATCGTGGGACAATTCCATTTTGCCTTCATATTGTGCCCTGAAGACTAGTAAGTACGTTTCTGTATGTTGGCCGCGTTAAAATTTCTTGTGGGCTCCTGCCGACACGTTTTTCTTCGAATTTTGTATTAAACTCTATTGCAGTTTAAAAATGTGAAATTTCTGATACATTTCTAACACAAATGACTTGCATCAATAGAAAGCTAACAAAAAACTACATATAAGACATTTAAATGGTTAGTTGGGATTTTCAAGCGGTTTTCGAGTTATTGCTGTTTTAAATGTGAAAAATAAGCCAAAATCTCGCAAAATTCCTGGGTACTAGTTTGAAACACACACATTCAACAGTTCATAACTAAAGAAGAACTTGAAAATCCCGGGTAATCGTTTAAATGTCTTATATGTAGTTTTTTGCAAGCTTTCAAATGATGTAAGTAATTTGTATTAGAAATGTATCAGAAATTTCATATTTTTTAACTGTAATAGAGTTTAATACAAAATTCGAAGAAAAACGTGTCGGCAGGAGCCCACAAGAAATTTTAACGCGGCCAACATACAGAAACGTACTTATTGGCCTTCAGGGTACAATATGAAGGCAAAATGGAATTGTCCCACGATATATAGTAAGTTTTTTCCTTCTATCTGCCCGACTATATGCATGTTACGTCACAATTTCGGCCACGCAAATTTTTTATCTTTACAGCCAGTGATCAATATTAATCCAAAACTCAAATTCAATAAAAGCATTTTGAAAACTTTTAATCTTTACTCCGTAGAGTTAATTAAATTTGTAAAATGTGATTGGCCGACACAAATTTTCTGTGGAAAAAATTTTCGAAGTTGAAAATTTTCAATGGACCTTTCACCTTTTGACTAAAATTTAGATCTCAACAAGTCTAGACAAAAATTTTATCTCGGCTTGAAAGAGCATCACAAAATTCCAAAGTTTCGTTGCGAAATGTTGTAAAATGCGGATAATATAGCCTTGCGAAGTTTGCAATTTTCAGTCATATTGTGTTACGTGCGGGAAATACATAACCTCTTTCCGAAGGAGGTATGTATTTTCCGCGCGTAATACAATATGACTGAAAATTGCAAACTTCGCAAGGCTATATATATTATCCGCATTTTACAACATTTCGCAACAAAACTTTGGAATATTACTAATTTTGTGATGCTCTTTCAAGTTGTGATTAAATTTTTGTCTAGACTTGTCGAGATCTAAATTTTAGTCAAAAGGTGAAAGGTCCATTGACAATGATATTTTCGGGAAATTTTCTGCCCATGGAAATTTTTCTTGAAGTTTTTCTTTCAAGATGCCGCACAGCCAAAATATTCCAAAAGTTAAGCTTGATATGAAAAATCTGCAACGAGATTTAATACACAATTTTCAATATTCTTTAAAATGAGAGAAACTACTGTAATTTGTCCTTTAATTATCAACGAATGTTTATATTTTTAGGGTCCAAAAGGAGCACCCGGAAAGCCCGGTATTACTGGAGGCAAAGGATTCAGAGTATGTATTCGCTACGTTGTTACTAATGTTTAGTTGCTCACTGCGTCCCCTCGTCATAAAAACGACCGGTAATTCAATAAATATCAGGGTGCGATAATTCATTATTTTTAGTTTTACCAGGGCCTTTCGTGCTTGATTTGGGAATTAACACTACAGGGTGTATAAAAAAAAGGAGACATTTAGAAATCAAGCCTATTGTTAAAATTTGAATGCCATTTCAATTGCACATATGCTGAACCGTGGTGCGTGAAATATTGATGGAGTGCATATACTAGAAAAAGGAGTCCTTTAGAAATCAACCATTGTTATAATTTCAATCCTGGAGCACTTTGCTAGGCCCACGAGTGCGTAACATGCGATCTACGTACAATATGCATGGCAGATTGTTCCCAGGAGCAGACAATCTTTTGTTTAAACGTTATCTCAAATTCTAAAGGTCTACTTTTTCTAATATATGCACCATCAATATTTCACGCACAACGCTTCAGCATATGTGCAATTGAAAAGGCATTCAAATTTTAACAATATGGTTGATAATTGTACGAGCAACATCGTATGATTACTTGCTTATTATTAGCATATGACAAAATTGAATACTTCTCCGTCAACATCATATTCTCTCGCCAAAGCCCGGTCCTGCCAGACTTTCAACCAAAATTTGGTGCTTTTGTTCGTATTTTCATCTAGTTCCTCAAGGGCAATTTCATTTCACATTTGTGTTCAAAATACCTTTCCGCCATTTTGTTTGTTTTGAGAAAATCATCAATTGTACTGGAGTACAATTAATGAAATAATTGTCCTCCTCTTAACCAATCAGCATCCAGTAATTTTGTCATGCTAATAATAATAAGAATAATACTTATGCGAGTTTACATCCCACTAGGTTTTTAAAATATGTCAACATTGCCATACAACTACTGCGCATTTCCGGATAGTGAAATCTGGTTGGAAAAACGGTTTCAAAATATAAACCGGAAAAAAGGGTAAACGGCCCAAGTTTTAGTCGTAAAATGAAGTATATAAAGTATTCAATCCGTAATTTGAGAGTTGGAGTTAGGTCAAAAAGCACAATTGCATGTACAAACACTACAATTCACACCGACAGACTTACACATATCACGGCTAAATTATTTTTTTTGAATAACTCGGGCTTGGAAAAGTTAAGGACAAGCAAAAACTACGCAGATAGCCAGAGTTTACCTACGTGGTACGTGACTGAAAAACAGAATTTTATTTAAATTGACGCCTTTGCGTGCTACGGTAATCCTAATTGCGTTATTAAGCTCATTCAGGTGGCGGAAAAGGGTTATCGTTAGATTTATGGGCCAGAAATGCAGTTAGTCTGTACATTGCAATTGAGAAAGAGACTGGGTTAATATGCCAGGAGTTGTAATACGACAGCATAAAACAATGTATCTGTATGTGTATTATTCTCGTTTCTAGGGTGACGATGGTGAGCAGGGAGCAGCTGGAACCGCTGGTAACCCCGGAACACCAGTATGTCTTACTGTATTATTATACACCCTGCCGCCAAAAATACCCGCCCCCAAAAAACGTTTTGTGGTATCACTATTTTTAATGGATAAAATAACTGGGCCAAAAAAAAATATGTGGGTTTCCGGTTTCCGACCCTACCTAGCTTTTGGACGCCGAAATCCCGACCCGAAACTTTTTATTTCTATTTATGTTTTTATTGTAAGTGTTTCCACTTAGAGGAAAACGTTTGTGAAAAATGGAAATTTGAGGCAATATTAGGGAATTTTATCTTTGAATGCGGAAGCACTGACTAAACAAATTGGCGTCCGGTTGTTAGGAAAATTAAAATAAAAAAAAGTTAAAAAAAAAATTAAAACCGACCTACCCTACCTAAGTTTTCACAAGAAGAAATAGGAAACCCACATATTTTTTTGGCCCTGTCATGTCATTCCAATTCACTGGTATTTGACCTACCAAAATAACCAATCGTTTGTCTTCTAGAATCGCTTAAGGTGGCGACAATCGGTGGCGGCATATTGCAGGCAATCCAGAAGACATGTCTTCTGAGGAATCGTTTGTCTTCTGGATTGTCTATGGTAGCAGTAAGCGCCTTTCACGTCTGAGATCGTGGACCCAATTCTGTGTGCGCGCTTATGAATTCACTCGTCCTTGAACGTCGTGAATTTCCTCCGGGGACTCGGATGTCTTCCCGCAGGGAATGACCGTTTCACCATAGCTGTGCTTCGTGAGAATCGTTGAACGCCGTTTTTCACTTAAAGCGTACTCTGCCGAAACGTATAAAAAAATTTCTAATTTAAGTGAATGTTGATTGGTTTATTTAATGCTGCCGTAGTACGCCAAAAAGTTGACATGCAACGAACTTTTCATTTTTATACGCGAATATACCCGAAAGTACTGTACGTGAATTTATCGCTCTATATTCAATGTGCGCGTGCTTCCCGTTACGGTAGGATACGGTTGAAGTGAAAACAGGCTTTTTTGGCTTTCATATGCGCCAAATTTTCTTCACTTCGTTAAGCAACTATTTTTACTCGACTCCAGATCAGTGCTCTCATTTCCCATTGTCTGGAATTCCTTAGATTCTCGGTAAAAAAATTCCTCAGATTTAGTAAAATTTCCTTAAACGAGGGGTAAGCATGTTTTTTGGTAATTCATGGACTGAATGATTGAGAATTACTAAGTTAGGTACCCAGAATTTTTGTCTCATTTGTGAATTGGGATTTTGAGCAGCATCGTCAGAAGAGATTTCACATTGTTGGTCAAGGAATATCTTCCTTCGAAAAATTTTTGCAGTCCTGAATGCATAAGACTGCATTTCCTGCGCTTTTAAAAAGTATTTTTTGCATAAATAACAGCTACATTGACTGATTTTTTAAACATTATTTCAATATTTTCAAATATTAGATAAAAACTAAAAATTCCTTAGAAATTCCTTAAAAATTCTATTTCCTTAAAAGTCTCCTTAAAAGGTGAAAATTTCCTCAGTTTAAGGAAATTTCCTTAAAAATGAGAGCCCTACTCCAGATTCATAACCCATAGTAGCCGAGCTGGTGGCAGTAGCATAATTCACATATGTAAACGGTTAAAGCTCTACAAGTGACCTCTGTAGCTCAGTTTGTTAGAGCGCTGCACCGGAATCGCAAGGTCACAGGTTCGATTCCTACCAGAGGGCCTATTGTGGCTCCTGGTTACATCTAATAAATGTATAGAATTCAAACTTGCAATTTCCATCATTCTACAAGACCATTTTACACTTGTGTAAAGGCTTTTAAATCGCAGAAATTTGTAACTGGTTGGTTAGGTGTTAGCTCAGCTGACCGAGGGGGGTCACCTGGACTGACTACTGTTACTTGGACTCAGATGAAGATCCATGACGATGGCATCTTGAGCTGCCACCCCCCACCTTCACACCAATTAAAATTGGTGGAAATAAATTGTTGAACTAAGCGTGCAAAAAAAAAAATTCAAAACGCACGTTGTTGTCGTTTGGACGTCAGACTTGGAATGATAGATGTCACCTACTCCCATTGCACCATCCCCCCGGTCATGTGACGTGCTGACGTCAGGATACCTGGCTCCCAAGTTGCTAACCTTGGTTATTGCATAACCTCATTTAACACCTTGTCCACCATACTTACCCGTTTGGTTGGTTAGGTGTTAGCTCAGCTGACCGAGGGGGTGACCTGGACTGACTAGTGTTACTTGGACTCAGACTAAGATCCATGACAATGGCATCTTGAGTTGCCACCCAAGGGGGATGAGTAGCATCGCCCCTCCAAGGAACAGAAGGCACCACCCCATCCTGCATGCGGGGAAACAAACGGCAGTATAACACCAAGCAATTATGCATAGAAATTAAACCGATCGATTTGGTGGAAACAAAAAACAAGTAGACTCACACACATCATATAACTTCTGCACTAAAGAATAATATTGAACCGGAAGTAAGCTAGATGTACAAACTAAAAGAAGCAACAACGCATCACAATAGAAATGTTTCTCCGGAATAAGTTTGAAAGTTTGAAAAGGCATAATTTAACTGCGTGTAAACTTAACAAGTTTCAAAACAATGGACCTTTGTTAAATACAGGAAATTGAATTTTCATTCCACTGCCAGCTTTGCTTGCCGTTCATCTGTTGCTGTAGTGAAATCAAAGTTTGATTATGCCGCTCTTCAGTGTCGATGAAAAATTTTAAAACATAAGAACATGAATATAATATTGCACTTTATAGGGTGAAGCTGGTAACGATGGTGTTGCAGGTCCAGCGGGACCACGCGGTTCCAGGGTATGTATGTTACATGGTCCATGCGTACTAGCATGCGCTGCACACGTAAAAATGCACAGATTGTTACATGTCTGCAAACAAGTTTGTTACAATTCTGTTCACAAGCTGTCGACAAGTTGTGGTCGCATTACTTGTTCCCAGTTGTTGTGACAAGTTTGGAACAAGCTATTAGCGAGTTTAAGATGCACCAAATCTACGACGCGTACGTGAAGAAAATCCGTAACTATTCCCACAGTTTCACTACACGGATAAAACTATGGCCTCCAGTTGGTAAACAAAGTCAGAGACACAACTGGATTCCAAACATTAGCAACGGTTTTTATGTCACGTCCGCGTCGTAGATTTCGTGCATCCTAAGCTCGCTATTAACAACTTGTAACAAACTTGATGGCATTATCAGACTTGTAACAAGTCTGGTACAGTAATGATATAACAAGACTGTTACAACAGAATAACCTTGCAAGTATCGATGCATAATTCACCGAGACGTAGTCGAGATTACTGTTAACTATTACCTGCACAATTATGTATTTTATACATGGTTTATGCTCACCAACATACTCTATGCACATGATTTGATCTTAAATATGTGATTGTTACAGGGTCCGCAAGGAGATCCAGGTCAGGCTGGTCCAATCGGAGGCGAAGGTGATGAGGGAGAAGCTGGTACACCTGGCCCACCCGGAGCATCTGGAGCAAATGGAAATCCAGTAAGTGTCTGATATCGTAGGACAAGTCCTCAACCAGTCGGCATTGCTCGAAGCAAAAAAAAAAGAAAATTTGTCATTGTAATGAACTGAGGGGGGAGTATGCCTATGCAATTATTTGAAGACTCGGGCCGGTTGTACAAAAAGGTAGTTGAAGTTAACTACAGTTAGTGCGAATCCACAAAATAAGTGGTTGAAAAGTTTTACACAACCGGCCCTAGGAATGTTAGTCCGTTCTTGGTTAATTAATGGTCTCTGAAACGTTATTTTTCTGTTTTTTTCCAGGGTGTAGAAGGAAAACGTGGCGAAGACGGTGCAGATGGAATCCCTGGAGCAGAGGTAAGACACTCGGCTATACAGCTACGATTGTTGTTTCAAAGTCGAAACTCAAAACCCCAAAGTTGCTACACCCAAAGCCGTTATGGTTTAGCCTAAATTTACAAATTTCCCTTCATTTTTTACTTGATTTTCCTTGATTTTTTACAAATTTCCCTTGATTTTCACCCATTTCGAATTTTTCTGATTCTCCAACGCAATTCAATAACAAACTCGTCAGGATTCATTGGATTTTAATTTTTTTTACGTTGACGAAAGTTGTTTGTAGAACATGCACAAATTGATTAGCGTAAGTAGTGGACCTACAGGTATAGGCCGATTCGAAAAATAGTCATCATTGTTTCTTCTTCCGAAATTAATTTCAACCAAGGTAATCGCTGCCGCCTTATGGAATGGTTCAAAACCAACAGTTTTACAACTATAATAGATGATTGCAGCTTGTGACTAATTTCTGATCCAGACAAGAAGGACGAAATCTTTCATTATTATTTATAGCTCAAAAGAAAATTGCAAAGTTTGGTTGCGAAATGTTGTAAAATACGGAAAATATAGCCCTGTGGAATTAGCAAACCTTGAGTGTTTTAGTATTACGCGCGGAAAAATGCGCCACTTTCGGCTCAGAAGTGGTGCATTTTTCCGCGCGTGATTCTAAAATACTCAAAATTTCACAGGGCTATATTTTTCGTATTTTACAACATTTCGCAACCGAACTTTGTAATTGTGCTAATTTTAGGACGCTCTTTTGAGCTATAATGATAGATTTCGTCTTTCTTGTTTAGATAAAAAAATTAGTCGATAGTTCGAATCATCCATTGTGAAACTCGTTAATATTTCATGACGCAAACACAAAAGAAATCATGACCGTGAAGGAGTTTCTATACAGGGTGTATCAGAAAACCTTGCAAACCCTTTGAAATACAATGTTTTTAGAATTTGCATGATTCAGAACTAATTGATCCCAAGCGTGCGTAAACATAACAGTTGACCCATTCGCAGTCGAACTGATAATTAGTTTTCTGCATTACAAATATTATTCTAATTTCTATCAACGCGGTTAATTAGAATGTATTTTCAAATCCCAGGAGCAAAATAAGTAGCACAGACATTTAAATGCTAGTAAGCAGCAGAATTATGCAAAGTGTATATCTGATACAAAATCATGCTGATTTACAGAAACTTCAAGTTATTTTATTTTATTTTATTTTAAATTCATTATTTTAAATTCATTATTTTAAATTGTTGAAGAATACGAATCTTCCATCAGAACGTTTTACAAGCCATTTACAACATCCCGTCCGTGCTGTATTTCCGATACAACACGGCCGTCCATGTTGCAAATAGTACATATTATACCTCTTTTGAGAAATTCAAATTAAATAACAGTTTCTGTTGAAAAAGTGTAATGCATAAAGTATAGAATAATGTAAAATTGTGTCGAATCCGTCAATACTTAATTAGCAAAACACAATAATTATATTGCTAAAATGCATGCACAACCAATATCATAATAATAAACATGTCCACTGTGCTTTTCGTGCTTAGAGGTCGACGTTTTGCTGTCGTGAGTTGTGACCTTCAGAGGGTAACATTAATTGAAATAGCTGTATTCAGCAACTGGTTTGGTTTTACTAGATCAATTTTAACAGGTCTTACTGTACTCTTCGTGTTAGATTAAATTTTCTACGGCCACTAAAAATTAGCTGTCTAAAAATCTGGAACACAGCGATTGCAATTTTTGGGACACCCTATATTTATCACTTATTTACTGAGACAGAGGGAAACAGCGTGTTTTGTGGACCCGAGACCGCCGTTGTTGCATATAAGTGTCAAAGTATGAATAATTCACTGGTTATTGGAGTGAACTTAATTTGAAACCAAAACTGGATAAACGAAACGCCGTAAATGTTTGGTAAAAATTTTAAAACATGAACTTTGGAACTTCATGGTTGACACGCATGCGTATTGCACCCATTTTATTATTGACCGGTCAATAAATGTTTCACTGCGGACCGGTTACCGAACATGACGTTTTGTGGACCAGCACGTGACACGGTGTTGACCAATCGGCAAGCAGAAAAATTGAACTTTGACACTAACTATATAACAAAAACCATTCTCACCCAATCTGTATTTGATTAAATCAGGTACAAATCGGATGTCAGTGGCGTAACTTTGGCCTAGAGCCGCAATTTATCTCAAATTTGAATCTGAAATTCCTCTCAAAAACGTTACCGACGTTTTCAGTTTATGAAAAAAATTCAAAAAGAAAGCCTGCCTAAATAACTGACGAACTCTCATGTTGTTTTACATTGAAATTGAGTGCTAAATTGCAATATTCCCATAATAAATAACATTAAGCCTCGACTTGGCGTTATTGTTCTTGAGAACCAGAGCGTGATTCGGGTTACGGCGCTGTTTAATTGGATGCACAAGGGTGTACATAAATGCATGTGTTGTGTACAAAGATTTTTCATGACTTTTCCAACTAGAAAGGCCACTTGTACTTACGCTAACGACACGGCTTACTTGATATAGGGTGACGGAGGCGACCCTGGTCCACCTGGGGCAAAAGGTGCACATGGACCTGAGGGACCAAAGGGTGATGTTGGTTTCCAAGGACTCCCGGGCTCAGCTGGACCTCCGGTGAGTTTTGTGTTAACGTCCAACATATTTCTTTTTAAAAGGTATAAGTACGAAAGTAGGTAAGTTCGTGAGTGTTTAGAATTTTGCGGACGCTCACCGCCATCAAATTTATATTCAGATACATGAGGCGTCCGTGTAGGCTCACCTTAAACACTTACATGTCGAAATATCTTTGCGTTATAAATACCAACAACAATTAAACATTTTTCTATTTTTATATAGGGACCTGCAGGAGAACCCGGCAGAGATGGTGAACCTGGAAAAGCTGGCGGTCCGGTAAAATAACTTAATACCCAGTGAAAGATTTTGATTGACATTTGTCAAGAATAAATGTCAGGCATAGATTTTTCTTCCCTTTCGCTAAAAGGGAGAGAGGAGAGGCCCCGATGTTCCCTTTTAGTGTTTTAGTGCAAGCCAGGTAGACCTGATATTTAGGTTAGAGATTTCCATCCACAAAAACACATATCGAATTGTGTTCTTTTGAGCGATAATGATGAATAATAATTGATACGACCAAAATTTTGTATAATTTTTCCTTACCCTTACTTGGAATCACCGTAATATTAATATATGGTTCCAACACAAAATCCTAAAAATACTGATTTTCGCTCGACGCTCTAATATTTCAGTGATTTCCTCAGAGTTAGACTGCGAGCGGTCCCTCCTTTCCGCGGGTTTAGATTTCCGGGCGCGAGAAAGGAAAGGAGGGACTGCAGACAACACAGTCAAGAAATGAAACCGCGTTGCCCACACAACGCAAAATCCCCATTGGTCGAAATCGATACGCCTGTCAATCAAATCTGATATGTAGTAATTATGCTATAATTAATTTCCAGAGTGAATGTTGATTTTATACAGGGTGTGTCAAAATAAAAGTAATCGAACGTCAGCGCGCTATTGTGTCTGAATTACTGCGTATGAACGAGATTTTTTCATCTTCGGAAAGATCAGGCTTTTAGCTGTTGAATGATATGTTCTTCATGCCAGATGGATAAAAAATAAGCAAGTACGAGTCTGATAAAAAATGCTAGTCAGATCGCATATTTTCACCGTTGTAATATGCGATTCTGACTAACATTTTTTATCGGACTCGTACTTGCTTATTTTTTCTCCATTTGGCATGAAAACATGTCATTCAACAGCTAAAAGCCTCATCTTTTCGAAT